CTTTTAACCATCGTATACAGATACTGGAATAAACTTGTTCACATTATTTTGTACTATTACGCCAAACCAAAATCAATTGATTAATTTTGAGTTGAACCATCGAATGTAAAATATTGGAGATTCTATTTATTCTCTGAATGACCTTCTTTGTTATTCTAAACCTTAACAACAGTTATTATTCAAAGAGTAACTAGGTTTAGCCAAGATAAGACTAGTTATGAATTACTGGGATGGAATTGGGCTTAAAATATTAAAATTCGTTTTCTTTTACACCAGAACATCTGTAGTAATTTAAAGACAAATAAAGGACTTGTCTTAGGGACAAGATTATATATATTAATAACAAGGCGAGGGCAGTGACCCGGAAACATTCATTCAGTCTGTAGCATATATAATCGAACAGCTAGGAGGCAACATAATACAGTAATCAGAGTGTGTTTATCTGTTTTATAAGAGTTGTCGTTTTTGGAAATTCCAATATTTTAGTGAATAGATTTACAACCTTGCTAATTGTAAGATGTTCCACAACTTTTTCATGAGATAAGTTTTCACCCTAATATAGATTACCTAGTTGATAGAGATCAAATCCAACGCAACTTATTTTGACTGTACACGATTCACTGAACTATTTCGTGTATAATGTCATAATACTTAATGTGTCGTCGTTTTAAGTGTTGATGTATCATTAAAGACCTTATGATTTGAATTTGAGATGATGGTCATCAATTTAATGTCAACAAAATAGGGTACCTTCCGGAAAAATCGTTCAAAGGGTGCAACCATAGAAGAAACTACGAAGAGCTATATAACACTATAAAGCTTATAAAGTATAGTTTCTCAGAATAACTTTTTTTTTTCCAGATTTTGTTTTTTTAACCGCCCGCGAGCCTGAAAATAATGTTTAAAAAAGACGAAACGGAATAAACAGACAAAACTATACAAACAAGACCGATCAACTAGTGACAAATTGATATGCAACGTGACTGTTCGTGACACAATTCTACACTTCCCTTTCAGAACAACATAATAAAGGGGAAGGAAAAATCGCAGCATAATAGTACTTCACCAAAAAAATTAGTCTTCGTATACAATAAAAGCCAAGTTCAGTGTCAGCAGATTTCTCTTTGTGAAAGACAAGAATAACGTCTGGAAGAAGGACAAGTTATCTTTTTCGCAGAATTTCCCGTTTGCGTTGCTGAGAATTCCGCACACGCTGGTTCAGTAATCTTGGACTGTATACTTTCTCTTGATTCAGGCATTACTGACGACAATTCAGCATTACACGTTCCATTCTGCGATCTATCCACTCTATTTCAATCTAATCTTATGGTTACAAAAATGTTACATTTATTAGCTTAGGAAATCCACACTCAGATACGTAATTCCGTGTGGGATTCAAGATTCACTCACGTTGTACAACGATTTATGGGCACTAACTTCCTATTAAACATAGCTTTACTTGACAATCAAGCTGCTAAGTCAGTTTCTACGCGCTTGAACGCCCTGCAAATACCTGGTTTCATACATCATTGCTCGCAGAACTAATCTGATTACCCTATGCCGCTCCCAATTACATGCTACTTTTAACTGTAACTTTAACTCTGTACTTTAACAGTAACGAAATTAAAACTCACTTAATACACAATCAAATTCATAATAAATCTAGAAAATCAATTCTATGGGCGGCCGTCACCACCAAAAATACAAGGATGTCGAATAGATCAGCAAATACAAAGCTGGTCTAAAGCCTAAAATAAATCTAACAAAGAGAGGAATGAAATATAATTTGTCCTTCTTCCAGACGTTTATTCTTGTCTTTAACAAAGAGAAATCTGCACACTGAACTTGGCTTTTATTGCATACCTAGACTAATTTAAACCAAAAGCAAGCAATTTGTTAAAGGAAATCTTAAAATAAATCTTACAAAGAGAGGAAAGAAAGATTGTTGTGAAATGTTTCTGCGCAAATGAAAATGAAATCTTATATTGTTTTCCTTTTAGTCTGAACACCTGCAGTGTTAAAAAAAAAAAACAAACAAAAAACAAAAATCAATTTGGAATGGCCGAAACGAGACTATTCATTAATCACAGGGGGAGGGTAGAGGGCTAAGAACGTTACTTCTATTAGTGGCATCACTTATCAAACAATTAACATAAACGAGAACAAAAAGTAACACGGAGGAAAGTTTACGGTTCAAGTTCATCTAATGAGGAATGCATCAATAACTTTTACATAACCAGCAAAAGGCTTTCGGTAAATCAACTTATATTAGTCTTGAGAAGAGTTTAATAAACCTCTTGCGTTTATTTTGAGATCACTGTTATCCTTTTAATCTTATTGGCTCTCATTGGTGCGAGTTATTCATGAATCGCACAATTTTTTCTCTTAATCACATCTTTTTTCCCAGCTAATGAGACAGCTTTACTAAAACACAACAACCAATCAGATTTCAAGGCTTGTTTAAAGGAATTAATCACATTACCGGAAAATGAAAGACTACTTTTTTATAAATTAAAACCAGCTCAATACTGGATCAATAAAATGTTTGTACAGACTTAAAAATTCTGCATTTGAGCGACTGAATTTCGCAGTTTCAAAGTGGATGCAATGGAGTGGAAATTGAACTTCATTTCGTTTAGTGGTGGTCTGAAATCATATTTGTGACTTCAAATCAAACTCGCGCTGTGCATTCGTTTTGAAATCACGGGTATGAATGAATAGATGAAGTTTGCATACGAAGTGCTTTAAAGCTCTAATTTCTGACTAAACTTTGCTACAAACAAGGCTACTTTTTATTTTTTAACAACGGGAGGGTGACACCTCGTTTCAAATAAGAGCTTTCACTGCGAATGAAAGGGCGAATTGAATTATGAGAGAGATTTTGTCGCCACATTTCAATAAGGGGTTTTAACCTGGACACGACTACTGGCTTATAAGACGTTTTCATTCTAGAGTTGAGCAGATATGTAGATTTATCGGAGCAAAAGAAACTGTAGACACAAGAGAAGAGTTCAAACATTTGAACACCAGTGTGGCCACCATTCACTGTTTTGCTGATCAATATAGCCGTTATGACGTCATGTTGGTAATGACGGTTAACAGTACGTAGCATTAATCAGGGCAGAAAAGGAATGCAGTTTATGACATGGAAGGGATGTTATTTTGTGGATAGAGGATCTCCGCAGAGCATATTTTACCCAACATCTTCCCTTCTGCAGGTGAACGTTAAATACTTCAAAATTCGTTGTGGCTTTCACGAAATTCTTGAGATAGATTTAGGTTTTACGTGACTTAAGATTTAAATCCTGTGAGAGGACATTGACGCCAAAGTGCGGGATTGTCTACGTAATTGATCAAGTCACGCGGGGAGCCACACGAAGCGTGTTCTGCGTTTCTTCCTCCCGTTTCTCGGGCTACTGACCTAAGCTCTGGAAAGTACCGCGTTAATAGAACAGTAAAGACTTTTCCAGGATGATTCCACCCAAATAAGCAGTCTCATATTTAAAAAGTGCAGCTCTTTCGCTATAACTCTTTTTAAAGTCATTGCAGCTGTCAACTCAGGGCTTCTCCTCTCTTTCGCAGATGAAGTCCATAAATTTCTTCTCTTATTATCAAGTAACATGTTCCACCCTGACAAAAAACAGCGTGCAAGTTATAAAAATTTCCTTTAGAACGTTTTCACCCTTTCCAAGGGGAATATTAGTAGCATTTCACTGTGAATAAGCAGTCGGCTCTTTGTATGAAACCTCCACTGGTGAAACAAATTATTCTGAGATTATCAAAATATGATCTTAAAAGTTAAGAATCGTTGGCATGATTGAAACGGAAGTATTCAGTGAGAGAAAAATAAATCGAAAATGATTATCGCCTGTTTTGAAAGAGGAACTCTGAGCGCGCTACAATGTTGGATGTGTGACGTCACGCTCGGTGGGTGTGTGC